TTAAAGAAAGTCGGAACTGTTGCTTATCAAAATGAGTTGCCTCCCCAACTCAGTCGCATTCATGATGTTTTTCAGGTATCCATGTTGAGGCGATATCATTCAGATCCATGTCATATCATTCAGATTTAGGAGGTAGAGTTGATACCTGATTTGTCTTATGAGAAGGATCCCGTTCAGATTTTAGATCGGGATGAGAGAGTTCTTCAGATTGGCATTTTCTGATGGTCAAAGTTCAATGGACTAACTGTGGCCCCTAAGAAGCTACTTGGGAGACATTAGAGTTGATGGAGGCTCGGTTTCTACATCTATTTCCATCAGGTACATTTCAAGGACAAAATTTCTTTTAAAGGGGGAGAGTTGTCACACCCCAACTTAAGGCTTAAAATTTTTCTTAAAATTCTTCCATTGACTAAATTGAAATTTTAATTAAATTTAAGGACCAAAGTAAAATTTTGATTAAATTCATATCTAAATTCAGAAAATACTAAAATTGGAGGACCTATAGTTTAATTACACTATTTTTCATAAGTGTGGGTTTAAAACCCCCCAAAAAAATCTCCATTTCTGGAATGTTCAACCTTTTTTTTTTCTCTCCTTTCAAACTTTCCTCTTATAGAAGGAAACCTTTGATCAACGTTTTGTCACCGACCGTTGCTCTGTTTTTGACACCTCTCATACCATCGTGTTCCTTGCGTCGGCCTGAGTCCACCGGTGTCCATTTTGTCTTCTTTGCCATAGACGTGCGAGGGGGTGAGAAAGACCATATTTACGATGTTTCGAAATCGAACTCTCTACTTTTCACCGCTGTGAACCGAGCTTGGCAAGTCTCTCAAAACCCCTCAAAATGCAAGTATGAATTTTTCTGTAATTTTCTGACTTTTGAAGCCTCTGTACGTGCCCCCACGCGTTATCCCTGTGTGTGGGAAAATTCCACCGCCTGGTGATATAAGTCTATTCCAGTTCCACCCCAGTTTCGATAGCTCCCTACCGTATGGCCCCAAAGAAACTTAAGGAACTGAAATTCCAACTCCAGGAGTTGTTGGATAGGGGATTTATTTGACCCAGTGTTTCACCATAAGGAGACCCAGTGTTTCACCATAGGGAGCCCTAGTTCTCTTTATCAAGAAGAAAGATGGGAAATTGAGACTCTATATTGATTACAGGAAACTGAAAAAACTCACGGTTAAAAACAAATATCCTCTGCCTAGGATCGATGATCCGTTTGACCAGTTTCGAGGGGCCACTACAAGAAATTTCTACTATTGTAACAAATTTAATTTTTTCAAAATTAATTATCACTATTAGTAGCTTTTTGGTGACAAAATAAATAATTGTCACATTAGATTAAAAATATATATACAATTATGACAAAAGCTAAAATCGTCATATTAATTTGTCACAATTAGCAAATATGTGTAACATACGGTGACAAAATAAATTTTATTACGATTTTTTGTCACAAATGTTTCCTTCTAATTTTTTGGCGCCAAATTAAAGGCATATAGTAACAAATTTTGTAACTAAAAGTTTTAGTAACTATGACAGAAAATATTGTCACAACAAATAATAAGATTTAGATTTGTTGTGACAAATTTTGTTTGTGATTATATATTTTAATTATAGTGACAAAATGTATAGTGACAAAATGTATAGTCACAAATGACTATCTCTAATCTTTGTACAAAAACAAAATCATATAGTGACATGATTTGTAACTATAAGCTATAATTATTGTTAAAAAAAATTGTCACAACAAATAATGAGATTCAAATTTTTAGTAAAAAACAGTGTTTGCATTACATGTTTTAATTATAGTGACAAAATATATTGTCACAAAGATTTCCCTCCATATTTTTTTGTGCCAAAAAAAGCATATATTGACAAATTTTGTAACTATAAGTGTTAATAATTATTACAAAAAACGTTGCCACAAAAAAATAATGATATTCACGTTTTTCTGACAAATTATATTTGTAGTTATAAATTTTAGCTATAGTGATAGCATATATTGTCATAACTATTTTTTTCCATTTTTTGTTTCAAAAGTTATATTGACAATTTTTATAATTATAATTTATAGTTATTGTTATAGAAAAAATTATCATATCAAATAATAAAATTTAAGTTTTTTTGTAATTAATTATTTTTGTACTTATATATTTTAATCATTATAACAAATTATACTATCAGAACCATTTCTCCCTATTTTTAGTGTCAAAAATATTATATAGTAATAAAATATATTGTCATAAAGATTTTCCTCCATATTTTTTGTGCAAAAAAATATATATATAGTAACATTTTTTGTAACTATAAGTGTTTATAATTATTACAAAAAACATTATTACAAAAAATAATGATATTCATATTTTTGTAATAAATTATACTTGTAATTATAAATTTTAATTATAGTGATAACATATATTATGATAAATATTTTCCTCCAGCAAGAAAAAACTCAAACAAGCATAGAACCTGAAGAAGAAGAAGAAGAAAATGAGTCATGGGGGAAAGGAAGGCTTAGATTCACCTTTTGTTAGACAGGTAAAAGAAAGAAAGCCGGTGGATGCATCAAACAAGAGTTGCCTCGCCAAGCAACGACAATTTGTAATACCTTAATTTTGTCCGAACGATTTAAATCCATTGAAGGCGATCGAGTGTCAGTTTAAAGACGTTCACACATGGTCGTCAAATTAGATCAAGTGGCTCTCCTGGGCAAAAAAAAGATTTGAGCTTTGAGAAATGTCGAACATTTATTTGGGTTCAGTAACCATACGTTTTTATGATTAAATTTTAAAGATGAAACATGGGATACCCAAGTTAAGTGCCAAATTCAAGTATCCATTTACAGTCCATTATACAAAGTACAACCGAAATTAAATTTTCATTCCATATTTAACCCTTCACCTACTTCAAATGTACCCAATCTCATACAATTTCAAGACCCAAATACTGGCCCATACGACTCCCAAGCCCGTCTAGCCATCATCAAAACTTTTGTGAGATAGGGCAACTAAAAGGGGGACTCCCATTCTCAACCGATCCAGGGAGAGAAAAAAAAAATATTCTCACATTCTCTCACTTCCACTGATCGGAAAAGAAAATTGGAAGTGTTACGATTGAGGTTCAGATGCAAAACGACAATTTTCAACCGTCTATGACGACCTCGGAAGCAATCAACCAAAAGATCACCAGAATGATGGAGTTTACTCTTGCTCCACCACGACCTCATCCTCCACTTCCGCCGCCTCCGCGTTCTCGCTCTACAATCCTCGCATCCTCATGCATCAGCAACAAGATATGGTCAACCGCCATAACCTCTGTCCCACTCGTCTCCGTGAAGCTGCAAGGGAAGCGGAGGAACTCCGTCAAGAGAATTCCTTGCTTCGATCTGTCAACCGAGACCTCAACAAGCAACCCAGCGCACTGATCCAAGCCTCTGTTTAGAACTATTTCTCATCGTCTGATTACGACACCTCTCCGTTTGAGTTGGCGAACATGTTGCGAGGACTTTATCTTGGTGGTGACGCTGTAGGAGAGGCGGATATTTCTGATGAGAGTCCGACAAGCGTGATGGAAGGTGAGAGGGACGTGGAGCGGGTTATGTTACCTAAGAGCATTTCCGTTAGGTCTAATGGTTATCTGAAGACGATGAATCAAGCTGGAGCGAGTCATCGTGTTATAACTCGTGGACCTACTCGGACTGTAAATACCTCTCAACTCAGTGGAGCGGTGAGTTTATTTTTCCTTTTCTTTTAATCTTTCTAATTCTGTTTTGATGCAAATTCGTTATTGCAATTAGTATATCTTTTGTTTCATATTTATGGATTTATATCTAATAAGTGAATACATATGAATATGATATAACCATTCATCCAAAATAAAATTGGATGAATTTATTTTTATCAAATAAAATTTTAATTGCTGTGCTATTATATGATTTATTGAAAATGAAGTATAAAATTAGTTGTTTAATAGTAATAACAATAATAGTTTCCTCTTTGTTTTTCTTTCATTTAATGAATGCCTTTTTTGGCTCGGCGATGAAACAATAAATCAACTAAAACTCAAGTATGTTAGATGCAAACATTATTATATATAAGATAATACTGAGATTCACATTTTCGGCCATTCAGAGAAATTAGATTCTTTTACTTCCGGCGTAACTGAAATCTAATGAAATAGTCCCAAACTTGTAACCCTTAACAAGAAATCTGTTTAGACGTTTAAGATTTGTGTACTGTTGTATCTATTATCCAGAAATTTGTTTAGCCCTTTTTCATTCCTCCGTCAACAACCGTTGTAGACTATCTTTCCAGGGTTCGCCGCTTTTCATGTTCTTTATTTTACTTTTTCTTTGCTTTCAGTGTAAATTCAACTCAAAAAATTGTCAGGGTAAGTTAAAATCTATTCCTTTCTAAAGTATCAAGGCCATGCTTCGTAGTATACCAATGGTGTTTAAAAAAAAATCGATCTTTTTGTTGGGTTTGTTTTGATTTCTTCATGTGAATTCAAATTGCTTGCATTCTAGTTATATAGAATCTAGGCTTAGTTTGCTTTAGTGTGGAACAAATTGATGAGGTATTTATTGCATGTTAATATGGATTGCTTTGAATTGTTTTTGTTCTAGATTTGTTATTTCTTAGAAATATTTCATCTTTATATGTATTTATGTGATATTCGTGTCGGTTTCTCTTGCAAGGAAGAAGTTGCGGTCGCCCAATCTGAGGCAACACCCGTTATGGGTGAGCCACTGGACATCAACTCGGCCTTGCCCCTTGTGGTGAGGAAGTCGCAAGATCACGGTGGTCTTGCACGCGGCTGACACGAAGTTGCCAAGGTGATTGAAAAGCACAATGCACACCTTTGCATTATAGCCGATGACTGTAACCAACCAGATTATATTAAGCTGGTCAAGGCTCTTTGTGCCGATCACAATGTTAAATTGCTACATGCCCCAAGTTCTAAAACTCTCGGAGAGTGGGCCGGTGTAAGTGACATTTCATTGCTCGTTTACGTTCGAATTATTTTGAGTGGAAAATCAAAAGTGGCTACCATTGTTGTGAATGTTGATTATGATTCATCTTTGCATACAATTATGTAAGATAGATTCCGAGGGGAAGGCACAGAAGGTTGTTGGTTGCTCCTGTGTAGTTGTGAAAGTATGCATATGTACATCGAAGTATAATATGGTTTGCTTAAAAATGTATTTGTTTCTTCAATTTAGATTGATTCAGATAATGTACAATGTATGTTCTTCACTTAAGAGTTTAGGGATTTTATTGTTCTTTTTCTTGTAGGATTACGGTGAACAACACGAGGCAGTTGAAGTTGTTAAGCAGCACAAGGATTAAGTGATCATAGGACAGTTTATTTGGTAAAATCATAGTTACTTTTCTGGATCATCTATGATTTTTGGTAGTAAACAACGGATTAATATGCCTGAGAATTTTCTATTTTCGAAGTCGTTGCAATGTTGAACTGCTTGGTGTTTCATATGCATGCAACTATGATGCTACTGCCTTTATTTATTTATCTTTCTTGATTTAGTAAAATGTTCGTTTGAGTTTGCCATTATAAAAAATTTGGGTATGAAATTCGATCTCGTTTTTAAAACTTGAGTTTGATTTTATTCGATTTCAAGTAAGGTTGATAAATATTTATTGGATTTGTGAATTATTTTAGTAAACATGATTACGAAATAGTTTGTGTCTGATGATAAATTAGGCTAACCTCATGCACACCTACATACAAAGATTCGTCTGAAGATACTCGAACTCGGATCACCTAAGAAGAACTGCATATCCTTTACCCGTTTTCATTGGTTAGATCAAAATGATATCTTTTAAAATGTTATGGATATAGCATAGGCCCAGACTCATACACAAGGCAGTTTAACTGTTCGAGCTTTTTGGTGTGAATTTACACTGTAGAAAGATTTAGGGAAAACTATTTTTTTGGTTACTCATTATTTAGTTTCTATTTTGGGCACTAAATTATTATTTTCAAGGGTAAATTACGTGTTTAATACCTAAACTAAATATTTTCGATTGTAACTAAATAGAGGTTATTTTTGTCACAATAACATAGTAAATTTAGTCAAAATAAAAATTTATGCCAAATTTATTTTGTAATAATATTTTTTCAAAATAAAAATTTTGACAAATTTATTTATTCCAAAAAAATAATTTATAATATATATTAATTTTTCATCATAAAAAATTGTGATAAGTAATATTCTTTCACAATAATAAATTGTAACAAAATGATTTAGTCACAATAACATGTTAAATTTAGTCAAAATAAAAAGTTATGTCAAATTTATTTCGTCCTAATATTTTGTCAAAATAAAAATTGTGAAAAAATTATTTAATCAAAATAGCAATTTATAAAAAATATTAATTTCTTATTATAAAAAATTGTGACATAATATTCTTTAACAATAACAAATTGCAACAAAATTATTTAGTCACAGGAAAAAATTATAAAAAATATTTAGTGACGAAATAAAAGTAGTGAGAAAATAAATTTTGTTGTACTATGTATTTTTGTCACGAAAACCTTTTTTTGTTTAATGTTATAATTTAACTTAATTGTGACGAAATTTATTTTTTGTAATAAAATAATTATTTTATTTTAACAAATATTTTGTCTCTGTAAGTTATATTTAGTGACAAAATAGCAACTGCGACAAAATAATTTTTGTTGTCTTATGTATTTTTGTCACAAAAACCCTTTATATTTGATGTTTAAATATAAGTTAATTATGACAAAATGTATTTCTCGTGACGAAAAAATTAATTGATTATGAAAAATATTTTTTTGTGATAAGTTAATTATAGTAATGAAATTTCATTGTTACAATAAATACTATAGAATGGTAATGAACACAATTTTGTCACAATATACTTTACATGACAATGTTGTTTTAACAAACATGACAACAAATAAAATTGGTCAGAATAAATATATCGTGACAAATTTAGTACTTTTAGTGATAAATAATTTTGTTGAAACAATCAAAATTTCTTGTAGTGGGCTTCTATCTTTTTAAAGATAGATTTGAGGTATGATTATTACCAACTCAAGGTGAAGGATTCTGATGTCCCAAAAATCAATTTCCGTACTCGATATGGGTATTACGAGTTTTTAGTGATGTCATTTGGGTTAACTAATGCCTCTGCTACTTTCATGAATCTGATGAATCGAGTGTTTCGACCTTACTCAAACCAATTTGTAGTTGTGTTCATCGACGACATACTGGTGTATTCTCGAACTGAAGCAGAACATGATGAGCATTTAAGAATTGTTCTACAGACTCTGAGGGGAAGCAAATTATACGCCAAGTTGAGCAAGTGTGAGTTCTAGCTTAGTGAAGTGACTTTTCTTGGGCATATCTTTTATGCTGAGGGTATCTAGATGAATCCGAGTAAAGTGGAGGCTATTCTGAACTGGAAGCAACCCAAGATTGTCTCAAAAATTCGTAGATTCTTAGGCTTAGTTGATTATTACCGTCATTTCGTTGAGGAGTTCACCATTATTACAGTTTCTCTATTGAAATTGTTAAGGAAAGATGTTCCATTTTTTCTGGTTTGAGGACCAACAAGCTAGCTTTGAGAAACTGAAGGTTGTTTTGACTCGTTCCCCAAAATTGATTCAGCCTGAGTCTGGGAAGGATTTTTATGTCTACGATAATGCTTCTCACTCTGGATTAGGATGTGTTTTAATGTAAGATGGGAAGATTTCTTGCCTTTAGTCGAGTTCGCTTACAATAACAGTTACCAGGAAAGTATTCGCATGGCACCGTATGAGCCTCTTTATGGTCGTCGATGTCGTACTCCTATCTGTTGGACCAAGTTACATAATAAGAAGACTTTGGGTCCTCAGCTATTTTGAGAGACTAAAGATATTGTCAGATTGATCTGTGATAGCCTGAGAGAGGTGTTTGATAAGAAGAAATCTTATACAGATCAATGACATAAGGATATCGAGTTTGAGGTTGGGGATAAGGTCTTTCTGAAGGTATCTCCATGGAAGAAAGTGTTGAGATTTGGACGTAAGGGTAAATTGAGCTCGAGATTTATTGGGTCGTATCGTATTTTAAAGAAAGTCGGAACTGATGCTTATCAAAATGAGTTGCCTCCCCAACTCAGTCGCATTCATGATGTTTTTCAGGTATCCATGTTGAGGCGATATCATTCAGATCCATGTCATATCATTCAAATTGAGGAGGTAGAGTTGATACCTGATTTGTCTTATGAGAAGAAGCCCGTTCAGATTTTAGATCGGGATGAGAGAGTTCTTCAGATAAGCATATTCCAATGGTCAAAGTTCAATGGAGTAACTGTGGCCCCTAAGAAGCTACTTGGGAGACATTAGAGTCGATAGAGGCTCGGTTTCTGCATCTATATCCATCAGGTATATTTCAAGGACAAAATTTCTTTTAAAGGGGGAGAGTTGTCACACCCCAACTTAGGGCTTAAAATTTTTCTTAAAATTCTTCCATGGACTAAATTGAAATTTTAATTAAATTCAAGGACCAAAGTAAAATTTTGATTAAATTCATATCTAAATTCAGAAAGTACTAAAATTGGAGGACCTATAGTATAATTACACTATTTTCATAAGTGTTGGTTTAAAACCCCCAAAAATAAAAATAAAAACTCTCCATTTCTGGAATGTTCAACCTTTTTTCTCTCTCTTTCCAACCTTTCCTCTTATAGAAGGAAACCTTTGATCAACGTTTCGTCGCCGACCGTTGCTCTGTTTTTGACACCTCTCACACCATCGTGTTCCTTGCGTCGTCCCGAGTCCACCGGTGTCTATTTTGTCTTCGTTGCCATCGGTGTGTGAGGGGGTGAGTAAGGCCAAGTTTTTTGATGTTTCAAAATCGAGCTCTCTACTTTTCACCGCTGTGAATCGATCTTGGTAAGTCTCTCAAAATCCTTCAAAATGCATGTATGAATTTTTCTGTAATTTTTCTAACTTTTGAAGCCTCTTCCCGTGCCCCCACGCGTCATCCCTCCGTGTGGGAAAATTCCACCGCCTGGTGGGATACTTGATAATGGGTCGAAATGACTCGACCCGCCTACCCGACCTGACCCGTGTCTGACCTAATCCGATCCGAACCGAATCAGTCAACCTCTATCTTGATGTTTTTCGACGTCCTGAGTCCAATTCTACAATTTTTTTTGCCAAATTCTGACATGAAAGCCTCGAATCGAACCCGTTAATCCAAAAAAGCTTAGTATTTTTAGCTTTTTTTCTTATTTATTTGAGATTTGATTATGGAATTGATTCGAGAATATATTTTTATTAAGGTACTCGTATTTCACTCGATCGAGGGTCAGTTGGATTCGGTGCTTCTCGTCCGTCAGATTCGCACGATTCGCGTTCCTCGAGAGTTACTCGTAGGAATTTGTAAATTGTTTAAATATGGGTTATTATTATTATTATTATTATTCATATTAGGATCCCGATATGGATTTTCCTAATTCATAGGATCTAGCGCTACCGCTGATCATGGTTAGCAAACTCAGTAGGAGACTTTCTTATCAGATTACTCAGACCAGTATAGGTGTGTTTCCTGATAGTGTTACATTATTGCTTTAAATTGTTTATTCGAATTGTTTTAGATTTATGATAATACTGAACATTTTTACAACGCGATATCTGATTTTCTGAATATTTTTTATCGGATATCTGATTTACTGTACATTTCTGATATGATCTCTGAATTCTATATTTTTGTATCTGATTTCTGACTTCTGGAATGTTTTCATGTTTTACTAAATTAAACTATCGTTTTCACTCGAATACATACATGTTTATTACTATCATTGGGGGCATTATTAGATGAAGTATCTTAGGCATAGTTTATGACTTGTAAGTCCTTACAGCAGGCTCCTCGGCTTTGTGCTCAGGGTAAGTCCTTACTGCAGACTCTTCTGCTTTATGCTCAGGGTAAGTCCTTACCACAAGCTCCTCTACTTTGTGTACAGGGTAAGTCCTTACCGAAGGTCCTTATGCTATGTGTATAAGGCCCTTATCGGGTGTACATGTGGGTGTATGGTTCTAGGGAACCTACATATTTTAGTGATCGGATGGGGTTAGTGATCATATTTTTAAAACATGTTTGATAAACTGATTTTACTGAAGTATTTTATATGTCTGTTTTTGTACACCGTAAGGAGCACATTGGGCTTTTTAGCTCATTTTGTAAATTTTAACCTTTTTAGATAGCAGCAGATCGTAGGCTAAGAGACTTGGCATCTGAAAGATCGACTACTCCTATTTTTGTACCATTGTATATCTTTATATTTCTTTTTGTTATACTTTGGTGACACTTGTTTTTTCTTCCATCTCGATATATTTGTATTACCAGTATTTTGCTATGTATATGTTTTATATGGTTTTTTTTATACATGTATATATTGATATATGGACGTTTTTCGTATGGACCTTTCTTATGAATAATTTTATATTATATTGTATATAG